CAATCAACATTGACCATCTTACGTGGCACAACCTGACGGCCAGTGTGCTCAGATGGCCGGTGTTGACGTGGACAATTTTGGTAATTCATTTTTTAGAATTTTTCTATTTTCCTATTTCCTTCCACCAGTTGCCGAGGTCTCGGCTATGGAGTTATAGGCAACGGTTGGCGAGGGCAACCCTCGCCTATGATCGTTGACCGGCGGAGGAAAATAGGAAAAAGACAAAAAAATTTAATTTTTTCTAAAAGATATCAACATCGGCATTGGCCGTCAGTGCCAGCAAAATCACGTAGGATAGTTAGCTTCTACATCGATTATTATCAGCCAAAATTGATTAGAATGACTACATTAGTAAATCATCAAAATGTTTAAGACTAAATTGGACAAATTGAAAGATTTAAAAATTAAATTAGCATTCGTATTATAAATTTAGGAATTCTTTTTATAATTATCTTGATAGTTTTAGGATTAGTAGTAAAATAGAAAGGATGGGGAGCGAACTCACTAACAATGGTACTTGACAGTACAATTCGCCGTAAGTTTCAAAGGTAGCCTTGGGAATTCGAGATTTTGGGTATTGATTTGGTGGGGTTGTAGAGTTGTTTCATTCTCGAGAAAAGAGAGCAAAGATAACGGCAACTTAAACCATAGTCGAAGGCCATTATTTGCACTTCTTGGAAGATGAAAGTACGTAACAATCTTACTTACCAAAAAAAAAAAGTACGTAACAATCTTCCATTCCCATCACTCGTTGAGCACCCAGGAGTTCAAGGTCGAGCTACACTTGATCATCAACTCCGTATAACCATACGAAGTTTAGCTCAAGCCCGATCTCCGATCGAAAAGTCAAACTCGGTCGACTTCGAGGATGGGCGTCAAGTGTCTCGGCTCAGCAGGTCAGGTTGAGATCGAGTAACGAATTGTATGGACTACAACTTGACTTCCGATTTCACCTCTACGCATCACCATTTTCCTTTCCTTTTTCCTTCCTTTCTTTCTAAGGATCGGAAGAAATGAAAGGGGGAATTTCATCCTCCATTATTGAGAGGCGGGGGGGTGGGGGGAGGGGACGGATTCCTACATTGGGAAGGTCTTGACGGTAATTATTCTCAGGAAAAGTAAGAGAAGACCTAATGAAGGAGCCATGTTAGGATGTTACCCAAAAGAAGGAAAGAGGGAATGGAGGGGATGGGGCCAGATGTTGGGGATGCCCAGCACAGGGAGAACCTTTTTAGGAATATGTGAGAAGGGGAATCATGAGAGTAACCTGAATTCTGGCTGTTTTGTGGTCACATTTCCCTTGGCTCCCACATACCCCATTGATAGATAGAGAGAGAGAGAGAGAGACGGATGGGAAGAGAGGGCAAAAAAATGTAGAGTGACTGATTAGATGAGCATGAGGAAATTGGAATTTCCATCTGAAGTCATGTCAAAATAAATTTCAATCCAAAAGCTTACATTTATGTATATAGATTAGGTGAGATCTCGTGAGCAAAGGTTGAAACGTAACCTTTGATATTTATGTATTGAGATGCACGTGTGAGTAGCGTTAGAAAAGTTTCACATCGAAAAATTGGTGAGGTATGGAGTACTTAATACCCTTAGTTGGCTCATAATTCATTGGCTCAAATTTTTGAATGAACGTGAGTTCAACTAAATATGTTAACGGGTTTGGACTTGGGTTTCTCTTGGCAATTTCCTCAAGTGCAAAGGTATCGAGCTTCTACTGCTAATTCCCAAAAAATAAGATCAGAACCAATGGTTGATTGGTGGCCCACTCCTCATGTGTAATGATGTTTGATGAATATGTCAATGAACAAATTTATTGACCAATGCAGTTTACGGGCATCTTTCATGATTCAGTCTAGCAAAAGAGACTTGGGTGAAGGTGGGCGTTATGGTGCTATGGGTCCTATATTGGATAATTGATACGAAATGGAGCAATTAATATTCATAGTTAGCCTATAACTTACTTGCTTTATTAATGAAGTTGAGTCCAACTTGATATATTAATGGGCGCCCTCTTGGCAATCTTCTAATATCTGGCTTCTATTGTGCAATCCCAACATTAAAAACTCCGATAAGTTGAAAAATTGCCAAACCATACCAAGACATGTTATTGACACCGAAGTAGATTATTCCCAAGGATGATCAAGTTAAATTCTAACAAGAACCAGTCACTCACAACAATTTTATGACAATGTCTTTACAAATACTGAAGTGGTGCATCAAGAGAAAACTCCCAAGCGTCGATCACAATGCACCACGTTTTATTCTATGGTTGGGCGTCCGGCCTTATGATTTGTCCATAGATACATACCTTACAAAAGAAAATACTAAAGGGTGAAATGGCCCCATTGGAGTTGGATCACTTTTCTAACTTGGAGTTGGCAGGGGTTCGAATCTTGCCCCCGAGGCGCCGTGCGTGATTCAAACACATAATTTGTCGCAAAATTCGGATTGCAGTTAATGAGATCAATTCTTCTTCCCAACCATTCACATCTAATTCTAGTTCGATAAAACGAAGCACCAGGCAATATTAGTTCTAAGTTGAAAGATGTTCGAGAACCTACATATGTCCGAATGAATCTATTTATGTAACTCTACGAATTTCCAATAATGCTAGAGAGAGAAAGGAGGGTACTAAACTAGCCAAGTGAGAGACAAGGGTAAAAGACACTTCACTTTTATAACACCCCACCACTAGTGGCCACCATCATTTTGTGCTTGAAATTTCTCGGCTTGCCTCCTTTTTCGTACTCGGAACTCCTAAAGCAAAACCCTGAACAGGAACCAGCACCATTCCTTCACATCTTGCACTCATTGCACAAGTGCCTTGACTCCAACATGTGACCGAAATCACATACTTGATCGATTAAATATCAGTATATATATAGCTAGCTTTTCCAAAGTGACACGTACTAATTACGTGAAAGATGCAATCACGTGATTATTCCCGTCTCGGCCGACCAACCACAATAAATTATTCACATTGGCGAAGTAATGTAATGAAATCTCTTGATTGATTCTTGCCTATGATGATGTTTCCAAGCTAATTGCACAACTCCTCCTTTCTTACTTTTGAATCAATGAATGTGCTCATGGGATGCATGTTAGGTGCATCTTGGAGAGGGTCAATGCAAAGCACATTGAATTGATTTCGTGGCCCTACAAATGTCCAATCACACACGGATTTTTTCTTAGCCCCAGCTAGATGTATTCAATTCATGTTCAAATTGAACTAACATCACCATCACACCGCAGATGTCAAGATGAAAAATTTTCTCCATGGGACAGATATGTGGATGTGAATTGACATTGGTGATGAAATAGGTTGGTAACCCTATTTATTAAATTCCCTCTTTCCTTTTTCTTTTTGAAGGTGATGCTGACAAGTTCCCAATGCTAAGGTTTTGGAATCTTGAGGGCCAACTATGCCTAGCTACATAATTTTGTTGACAAAAGACAGAGACTTTTTTACCCCCTTCTTGTACAAAGTCAATTAAGATTTTCTTTTTCCTTATGTTGATAATACTAGCGAACTCACAAGTGCATGAATATGTCATGCCGGTCCAATTGTACGTGAGAATCTGAATCGAACCGAAAGTGATTTGTCATCTGAACCGACAGACTTGTGGGATTGCATGCCTAAAAAGTAGGGTTCATTTAGTTGTTACAAGAAAAATACTTTACTAACACATGTAAGTTATGTGCGATCTACGTCAATTTTTTTTGTCAATCATGGCCTACGCAAGCTCGCACTATAGTCGATGCAGAACTAAGACATAGAGTTATTTGTTGTTACTTTGATTGTATGATAGATATCTTACATTGTAATATATTCGCGTTCGTGTACGACGATACATGTTTTAAAGTTCCAACACCTTAAGCTGAGAGCGACGGCCTCTTGCGGTTTTAAGGTGTCTGTGAAATAGATTGTAGAAGTTCTAGCCCTTTCTGCGCCTTGAGAAAGAGCACTTATGCCTTCTAATAATTGTTTTACAATAATTCAACTCTGATCAGAATTGTTAGATAGATCTTTTATGTTGATTGAAGAGTATCGTTAGGGATTTTATCAAAAAGTGTCAACGGGAATTTCTTAAGCAATTAAATAAGAAAATAAGGTAGTTTTTAATATACTGAATTTTCTTAATTTATGCACAATCAATACCTTAAAAATCAAATATTTCCTCATTGAGCACGTATAACAAGTGTCCCAATTGAACTCAAGACCTTTACACTAATTGTAATCGATCTAAAAGTGTAATGAATTAGGTGACTCGAGACAGCTTAATCACAATTGGTTGTTCGGTGATAATTGGTAAACATGTACGACTTTTCTGCGCGATGCCCGAGTTTGAACAACCAAATTTGTGCATCCGATGCAATTTCCCCATCCACCAACCTGTCTAGTCCGTCAATTTACGTGGTGTGCATGGGACCTGGGGCTACCACATCCGGTGCAAATAGAAATTTTACTTACACGGTCTAACCCCGTCAAGTGATAGACAAACGGGTGCTCAAATAATCGTGCCCCAATTTCCCAAAAAGATTAAAAGAAAAAAAGAAGCAGCAGCAGCAGCAGCAGCAGGAGGGACCAGCTCAAATTCGATCCGAACTTTTCGACTTTGCAAAATCGAATCATGCTTCTTTGAAGCCAAAAAAGGGAAAATTTCAACGGGGACCTAAAACACCTTCAGCGGCAAAAAATTCCAGATCTCTTTCGCCTCCGACCCACTTGTCTTGTATAAAACAAGAAGCAAACCCCTAACAACAAGAACTCTCTCTCTCTCTCTCTCTCTCTCTCTCTCTCTCTCTCTCTAAAAAACAGAAACTTATTTTCTTTATTCTGGTACAATGATCATGAGAGATTTTCACCGTTTGTTTTCCTCCACTCCTCATTAACAGCATTGCAGCAGCTAGAAGTAAAAAACAAAGGCAAGAGAAAAATAACTCGGACAGAGAGAGAGAGAGAGAGAGAGAGAGAGAGAGAGAGAGAGTTCCAATAATACAGTACATAACATAAGAATGGTCACGAGGAAGAGAAGCTCTCACCAGAGAGAGATCTGAGAGAATACTATTTATTCTGATCTGCACGCACTCTTTCTTTGTTTTTGTTTTTATCTTTTCCTTCTTCTTTTTTTGAATTTTAGGCTCTCCCAACAACATATAAAACAACGAAACTGATGCCCCTGGCAACCGCATGTTTCTGCCTCCCATACAAGTACAAAAAAGGAAAAAAGAAAAACACTGCAATCGATTGCCCTTCACACAACAACGAAAAGGGCATACACGCCATATAACCTTTCAAGAATAACAGCAACAGCAATTAGTCTCGACTCCTAGCTAAGAACAGAAAACCAGAAAAGACCCTAGTAATAATCTCACACTTTTTATCATCCTTCCCTAAATCTTTTCACATGTTGTAGAGGCTAACGAAAGGCTCCGGGTCGCAATTAAGTCTGCATGCCGGGCGGATAAGCTTGTTTCAAGAGAGAAAAGCTATGGGCGAGTTCGGCCTTCTTTTTGTTTATTTCGGGACGGAGTAGCTCAGGAGGGATAGACAAGGAAGGAGAAGATGAGTTGGGTGGGAACGGGGAAGGCAGGCGATGGCACTCTACATCGCTCGCTCGCGATTCAGAGCCCGGGACCAGAAGGAGAAGAGAGGGGGCGGGAGCGGAGGGGGGTCTTACAAGGTCAAGAAAAGGTCTTACAAGGTCAAGAAGGGTGGAACGGGACGGGGGGCGAGAATTTGAAAACGGAAAAATGAAAAAAGAGGAGTAGTTGGGGAAAAAGCTCAGATAGGATAGCGCCAAATTAGCATGAACAAGCATCCATTGCTAAAGAGCTCCATGTTGCTGCTTTTGCTTCAAATCCAGCAAAGATTCCACCCATGGTGGCCTCTTCAAGTTGACCTACAAAAGATGAAAAATAAAGTAATCTTAAATTATTAAATTGGTAGAAATGAATTTATAGTGCGGATAGAATAAAATTAAGTATAACGCGCACATGGTTTTTCCATTTTGATCAATGAAAGATGGGCTCATGATCAAGAAAACATATACACGCACGCAGAAAAACCAAGAGAACTGATCAGCTACATGCATGTAGAGGAACCACTGTTCTTGAGCTGCAACAGCGTTAACATGTGGCTTACATTTCCATACGATAGAACAAGATCATCAGGAATTTAGAACAAGCAAAGACGGTCCGGAAAGCGTCAGGCAGCAATTGATTCGCAGGCGAAAAGAGAAAGAAGAAGAACACGAGCAGGTCTCGCGCCATGAACATACGAGGGTCCATGGTATAGAACCGTAATCTGATGCAAAGCGTGTACCTTGAAGATACGCGCGCTTGCGTCTCATCTTCTGAAGCGTTTCTTCCCTCTCCCACTCTGCAACAAAGAGAGAGAGAGAGAGAGAGATGTTGGAAGTGGAAAGAAAGAGCTGGAGATGGAGAGGATTATAAGGAGGAAAGGTTTTGGGGATTCATCTAGAGGCAGAGAGCCGAAGCCATCCATTGGGCTGTGCCCAACGGATCTGACAGCGACAGGTCCGATCCAGGCCCAGAAGGAATGTAAGCTGGACTCTGGATGACGTCAGCAGCAAGACCCCCTCCGGCCCCGGGGACTGCACCTCATGGAGGCCGACGGCGCCGCCGCCACCACCGGCGGTCGACCTCCCCCTCGACCTAGGAAAAGGGGAAGATTTGGGTTATCTTGAGATGACCTATTTGAGAGATGAGTTTAAGATTGCACTCGAGTCGTTGTGAATCGTTCGGTACTCGAGCTCAAACTCGACTTAGCTCCAATGAAAGCAAGAAGCTCGAGTTCAACTTGACTAAGTCAAGTACAATAGATGTATGTTTGAAAAAGTAATATAAAAAACTAAAATAGATAAATATGTGGTTACTCAATCAAAGATAACAAGCTCTAATTAAAAGTTTGATTTGATTATCCCGCTACACGAACTCGAAAAGAATCGACTCAAGGTTGAGTAATCTACAAATCTGGCTCGAACTGCTCGCAAATAACTTCACTCGCCTACATCTCTAATTCTCACCATCAAATTGGATGCGTCGCATTTTAAAATCTCAATTGTCTCGCCAACAAGATAAGTAAATCTTCCTGGGGCACTAGTTGAGACCGCTAAAAACAGAAGAAGGAAAAAGTACAAAGGCATATTAACACATTTTGAAAATCGAGCGATAACACGTATCGAAGAAATGACCTATTTCAAATCAAAATATTCACGTTCCCAAAGTACGATCAGCGGGACTCTAAAAAATGTCCTGGAGGCGAAATGACCTATGATATTGTCCGGCAGTTCTAGTGGCGAAAAATTCCTAGACGCATCGGGAGCAAACGGGCCCGTTTCATCTCGATCATTGAACAATGCGAGGCATCCATGTGAGAGTCGTATGATTCGATGGTTCAAAAAGAGCGAGCTCACGTGGTCCCTGTACATGCGGTCCATACCCACACGAGAGGTTAAAAAAAAAAAAGGACAAGTAAAGAAGGGTGGCTAGAGGCATCGATGGCCAACCAATTTTACCGAGTCAACGCGTGAAAAGGTCTCGCGAAAGGACGACCGCATGATTGTCCACCTGGCATGTTATTGTCTGTCGGGTTGAACCGGTCGTGGGCGTGGGCTTTCTTCTTCTACCCGCCGGCTTCACCCCTTCGTCGTACGTGAATTTTGATGCCATTAAAAGAATTAAAAAATGTTTCGATATATTACGGAAAAAAAAAAAGGACCATAACTATTTCCGCGTAGATTTTGCATTATTTAATTACCAGCTCATTTGCTCAACTTTCCTTTCAAGAACTTTTTTCCGAGCTTTCGAAATGCAAAAGTAATCAGATCATTATGACGATTCATGAAAAGATAGGGGGCGAACTCAATTACTCATTAACCTTAAGTTTGTAAATTTTTTTGTTAATTCTCATAATTATTATCAGAGGTGGATCTTGACTACGGGTTTAGTAACAATGTGAATTTCAGCTGTTAATTATCGGCTAATCCGTTTTTTCACGCCTCAAGTTCTCATTTTCCCCACTCTCTCACTTTTGAGTAGGGATCGAATGCACTCTTTTCAACATCTAAAGGACATGAAAGGACCCGTGTGAAGTGCGTAAGACTAGTGTTGCGCTTGTTTTGCGAAAAACGAATGATTTGATAAAATAAATTTTTTGAAAATGATCGCTTGTATCGCTCATAAAGATGAATGGATGAACAAAAATTTCATCGTCCATGAAAATGTGCAGACATAAACTGTTGTCGATAATGAAAATATTTTTCATAGATTAATTATTTCGAGCAATACAGACGATCATTTTTAATAATTTTTTAAAATTATTCAATTCCCGCGAAATTAACGGAGCAATTGGAGGTAGGTCTCGCGACCCTATACTCTTAGATAATAAAGAAAAAACAAGTGATTGAGAAAATCCGAGGGGGACAATCCCATCCAGCTGGAATGTCATTGGGTTTACCCACAAAATACATGTGGTTCCTCAAAATAATTCAACGCTCGAAAAATACACATAGAAATATGTAGAAGACGTGCATGGTTAATGATGAAACTAGACACTCGAGATTATTATTATTATTATTATTATTATTATTATTATTATTATTATTATTGTTTTTCGCGAAAAATATACTCCATAAGACTCAGCTCAAAATGGACAAATTGCTTGTTGTATGCCGGAAAATGGCAACAAAAGAAGGAAGAGGAGAATCTATAAGACAAGGAAACATAAATTACTTGCCAAAATTCTTATAAAATGTATAATGTTTTTGTCTAGACCTTCGCACATATCATACGTTACCAACATAAAATAAACAATATAAATAAATAAATAAATGTCGCAAAAAGCAATCTAAAAAGAAATAATGTAAAATAAAATAAAAATCGTGGGGAACGAGATCGCAAGGGTATGCGAGCAATCACAGTCTCCAAAGATGAGAAAATATGGTCAAAGCAATGCAAAAAAATTCACCTCCCCCAATTCCTCGGCCTCCGTTCTTTATCTTCGATTGAAATGCGTGGCGTCGTTTCAAGCTCCCTAATGTCGTGCTTTTATGGAAGGGAGACTTAATTTAATGATATTACAAAAGCGAATAAATTCCGTACTATATATATGTATATATATATTGTATAGGTGAGATAAGAGAGTCGTCGTACGAGCATGTGATGAACACCGTCTCGGGGTGTGCCTTGTTTGAGCGGAAGAATTTTTCGTTAAGTGGTTTTCTAGACTTTCGTGTGTTTGGTTTGCAGAAAATAATCGGTCACCAGAAATCCATTTATGGCCGAAGAAAAAAATACATGCTTAAAGTCGGGAAAATGAAATACCTAACCCGAAAAAGGGGAAAATCTTTTCGAAAAGCATTTTGCTTTATTAATAAGGTTAAAGCTACGAAAAACCCTAAAGTGGTACACCTGTGACAAATTTAATCCAAACTAATTTTTTTACCACCAAAAACTCCAAACTGATACATTTATGACAAATTTACCCTCAATTAAATTGAATTGATACAAAAAAATAAAAAAACTAGTACATCTATAACAAATGGAAGGTAAAACCCAAAACTGATATATTTGTGACAAATTTACCCTCCATTAAATTAGATTGATACAAAAAAATAAAAATAAAAAACTAGTACACATATGATAAATGGAGGGTGAAACTCCAAATTGATACATTCGTTACATGTCATGTGTCATTTAATTTAACAATTTTACAATAAAATTTAATGAAAACTAACGGAGAGTAAATTTGTCACATGTGTACTAGTTTGGGGTTTTTGGTAATAAAAAATTAGTTTTGGGTAAATTTATCATATGTGTACAAGTTTTGGATTTTTCATGATAACCCTTATTAATAAGATTTTTCTCGAAACAAACATACTCTTAGGGTCTAAAAGTCGCATTTGCCTATCGATACGATATACATCAGTACAACAGCAGTCCAAAAAGCAAGCAAAGTGACCACATTCACTGAACCCATAGAGGGTGCGAAAGCCAAAAGCCTCCTCCTGTTGATAATTTAATCATGTCCAAACCTAGTTTGTCTAAGCAGTGTTCAAACAATGCCATGCATGCGTAATTGCGTGCGTATTAGATCGATGAGCGACGTTAAGAGCCGTTGGTTTTTCTTATTTGGATGAACAAATCGAATTGATTCAGCATTAGCCGGCTCTATAGTCACAGACAAGAAGTTGGTACACCTTTTGACTGCTCTAGCATTTTCGATGTCGAACCCTAACACAGTTCTAGTCCGAGACTCGCATGAGAGACCCTACCAAACTGCAATATATGATATGGTTAGAGCATACGCTAGATTCCATTAAATAATGAGCAAGTCTCGATTTTGTTTATAAGTATTGATTCTGTCCGTCGCATCATTGGTATATTCTCGATTTTCATGGCCAATGGATTGGAGTTGCGTTGTCTTGTTCTAGCTCCTCCTTGTCTATTGGTATGCCGGCTTTGAAATCTCAGGATACGACCATTTGGTGCTCCGTCAACTTTCTTTTTTTAGTCGAAATTTTTATCAGCAAAAGATATGAATAGCCATCAAAGGCATCATTCTTTTGAGGTTTCCACCAAGTATGAGTCCCCCAATAGAAAAGTCTCTTATGCAACGTCGAGGTTGCTTTTTAGGAACATGTAAATTTTTTAACATCTAATCGCTTTATTGATGTAATTGAGGAGAATTCAAATCGACAAATTTAAGGAAATTTTTTGTAGCCAAGATTTGCAAGAACGAACGAGTCGTGTCGTTTAACTGCAGGCGATACGTCGTCATTTGACACGTCTAGTTTCCTTTGAATTATATCTTGATAATGCCTAATTTCATTGTACTTAATGTGCTCCACAATCAGCCATACTCGAGCGATGGGAAACTAGGTTGAGGACTCATCCCATTTTAACCCACATGGAAGTCTGTTCTTTTGCCCTAGATTTGTGAATGAACAGGTGCTGGAAAGTGGATGTGACATGTGACCCATGAGTCCCTCATATCATGCGAAGGAGAGGAGGGTGGTGATGTGATCAGGTCGAGACAAGGAATCACCGGAATACTAGGAAACCACAGATGCAAACATCATCTGCAATACAAGAGTCTTTGGCTGTAGTAAAAGAATGGTTATATGTTTCTGCAGGATTCTTCATTGTCCCTCTCGCACTAGGTGACCTCCCCATGAAAGTTTGCCACGATACCCAAATCAGGAAACCAATAATTTTCAAATCTTGGGTAGAAAGTAGAGGGCCTCTTCAGGATGGGATGCCGCCAGGGCTCCGTCTTGTCTTTGGCTCGATATTTTCTTCCTTTGTTTCTTCTTTCTGGTGCATTATTTCCATGGCGATAGGGCAAGCTAATGCGGTTCTCTTCTCCAATCGAATTAGAATCGGGTCAGGTCCACCTCGGCCCGGCCATCATGCAGTTTTGGCAAGACCCGTTTGGGAGGAGGAAGGAAGGGAACAAAAAGAGACCCCTGCAAAGATTCTTGATGGCTCATGGGAGGGGAAGGGTGAGGTGTGTGTTCTGGTGGTCCACTCCCTGGGTTGTCACAAGCGGGAGGAGGAACACCCGTTCATATAAAATTTCACGAAGTTGCAGACTCCCATGCCAGGTGTTGTGGACTCTCGAATTGAACTGTGAAACAGGGACATG